TTGCCTTGGGCTGAGCCCGGGCAGAGCTGGGCCTGACCTCGGCCCTCTGATATTTCCCCTCGCACGATCATGGGGAACTTGTTGGCTGCTGGCTCGCCACCCGCCGGCCCGAAGCCTGTGCCAGCCCTCATGGAGCTTTACGCTGCCACCACTGGGGGCGGACTGGGCACTGGAACCAGCACCGGCCGAGGTTCAGAACGGACATCTGGGACTGCAGCCTCCAGCACCGCACGGGCCACTGATGACCGGGCCTGCGGCTGCTTGCCCAACCTGGGCACATTTGAGGAGTGCCACTGCAAGTGCAAAGAGCTGTTTCCTATTCAAATGAAGGGCGTCAAACTCACTGTCAACAAAAGGTTGAGTAACCATTTCCAGGTGGACCACATAGTAGCCCTCAGCACAACCAGGGAGTCCACCTACCACTTCGGGGTCACATATGTGAGGACAAAGCAGCTGTGTCCCACAGAGGACTTCCCTGTGCTGGTGGGCGACATGGACAACAGTGGCAGCCTCAGTGCTCAGCTCATTCACCAGCTAGGCCCCAGCCTCAGGTCCAAGATGGCCATCCAGAAGCAGCAGTCAAAGTTTGTGAACTGGCAGGTGGATGGGGAGTACCGGGGTTTAGACTTCACTGCAGATGTCACCCTGGGGATCCCTGATGTCTTGGTGGGTTTAGGAATCCTTGTGGCCCATTACCTCCCGAGCATCAGTCTGTCTGGCCCTGAGCGGAGAACTGGTCTACCACTGGTGGCCTGGAGAGGAGGGCACTGATATGTCTCTAGCTGGGAAATACACACTAAACAACTGGTTGGCAACAGTGACACTACGCCAGGTGGGCATGCATGCAACATACTACTAAAAAGCCAGTGATCACTTGCAGATGGGCATAGAGTTTGAGGCCAGCACAAAGATGCAGGATACCAGTGTCTCCTTCGGGTACCAGCTGGACCTGCACAAGGCCAACTTCCTCTTCAAAGGCTCCACGGACAGCAACTGGATAATGAGAGCTATGCTGGAGAAGAAGCTGCCACCACTGCCCCTGACGCTGTTGCTCGGGGCCTTCCTGAACCACAGCAAGAACGAGTTCCATTGTGGCTTTGGCCTCACCACTGGCTGAGCCTGCGCCCTCAGATCATGCCTCCAGCCCTCCCCACAGAGGACGCCCAGCCCTCTCCTTTCCCTCCTTCCTGGGGGTCAGGAGCGGCAGAAAGCAGGGGCCACCACCCCGCAGCTAAGGAGGGGTCCTGGGACTGAGGGTTCTGAGCACAAGTGGCATCAAGCCCATAGGGCCTGGGCTGCCCCAGAGGATTCCGAGTCCGGGAGCATCGACCCTGAGCACCAGGGCAGAGGTGGCCACACAACCTCAGGGAGGAGCGGCGTGGTATCCCATGGAGCCACGCGAGGTGCAGCAAGAAGCACCTTGCTGCCAGCCTGTCCCGCCCACTCTCCCCTTTACCCCTCAGCATAAATCATGTTCAGCAGTTACAGAAGAACCAAGACATTTTCCAAAAAAAAAAAGAAAGAAAAATACAAAAAATATACGTGGGGTGGGGGGGGGGGAAGAAAAGAAAAGAAAATAGGACAGATATACAGCTACCTTCTATTGGTACAATGGAGGAAAAGTCTGTGCTATATTGTCTAGACAAGATATTATGCTTGCATCTTGTCCTCTGAATAACAACTACAAAGAGCAATATGCAATGTATTAATTATTATAACTGTCCCACTAACCTCTTTTTAAACTGCTTCATTGCTATTTTTCTCACTAAAATGAATAATAAATAAGTAAGGAATAATACGATTGTAATGGGGTACTTTAATCTGCCACTATCACAAAGAGATAGATCAGCTAGGCAACAAATCAGCAAAGAAATAACAGAATTAAACAAAACTTGTGAAGAAATGGACTTAGTAGGCCTTTAGCAACAACAGAATACACATTCTTTTCAGCTGTACAAGGGACATACTCCAAAATAGACTGTATTTTGGAGCTCACAGATCACGCTTAAGAAACTACAAAGGTATTGTAATTGCCCGATGGATATTATATGAGAACAGAACAATGAAACTGACAAAAGAAACAGCAAAAACATCATAAAATTACTGACAAAAGAAACAGCAAAAACATCATAAACACATGGAAATTAAACAGCAACCTCCTCAACAAGCAGTGGGTCACAGATGAAATTAAAGAAGAAATTAAAAAATATTTACAATCTAATGAAAATGTAGATACAACTTACAGAAACCTGTGAGACACAATGAAAACTCTCTTGAAAGGAAAATTTATACTGGTAAATTCACATATTAGGAAAACAGAACAAGTCAAATAAAGATCTTATGCTGTAACTCAAGCTCCTAGAAAAAGAAGAACATGTCAAGCCCAAAGTCCAAAGAAGGTAAGAAATTAGAATGATTAGAGCAGAAACTAAAGCAATGGAGATGAAGAAAACAACGTAAAGAATAAATGAATCAAATAGTTGGTTCTTTGAAAGAATAAATAAAATTGACACACTCCCTAGGCAAACACTAATGAAAGAAAAAAAATCAAATTCATGCAATAAAAATCAAAAGGGTGAGCCAGAGATGTAGCTTAGTAGAATAAGTGCCTGCCTGGCAGGAGCAAAGTCTTGAGTTTAATTCCCAGTACCACAAAAAATAAAAAATCAAAAGGGAAAAATCACTACAGACCCTACAGAAATTGAGAAGATGATTAATACCTACCTACTTCCAGAATCTTTACTCTCACAGGATGGAAAATCTAGAGGAAATGGACAGTGTCCTATATACATATGAAATGCCAACGCTGAGTCAAGAAGATATATAAATTCTGAATAACCAAATAACAGGAAACAGAATTGCAAATGCAATAAAAAACCTACCAACAAAGAAAAGCCTATGTCCTCACAGATTCACAACAGAATTCTACAAAAAATTCAGAGAGGACTTAATGTCAACTTTTCTCAAACTCTTCACTGAACTTGAAAGCAAAACAATTTTTCCAAACTCATTCCTGGAGGCAATTAAAAACAGACAAAGATCCAATTAAAAACAAATACTGTATATTCTTCAAAGTAAAATAAAATTGAATTTTAAAAGAGAACTATAGGCCAATCTCTAATGAATATAGATGCAAAAATCCTCAATAAAATACTAGCAAAAAGAATGCCTCAAATCATCAAGAAAATTATACATCAATACCAAGTAGGATTCATCCCAGGAATGCAGGGATGGTTCAACACATGAAAATCCATAAATGTAGCACCATATTGATAAAACCCAAAACAAAAACCACATGACCATCTTAATAGATGGTCAATTAAAGCTTCAGGCCAAATCAACACTGATTCATGATAAAAACCCTACAGAACATCAGAATAGATGGCCTATATCTGAACCTGATAAACACCACCTATGAGAAACCAACAGACACATCATAAAAAATGAGCAAAAACTGAGAGCTTTTACTTTAAAATCAGGAACAAGACAAGAATGTCCACTGTCTCCACTCCTATCAATATACTTCTGGAAACATTATCCAGAACAATTAGACAAGAGAGAAAAATAAAAGGAGTAAGGACTAGAAAAGAAATGAAATCATCAGGGGCCAGGAAGATGGCTCAGTGGAATAATCGCTTCCCTTGCAAGTGCAAGGGCCTGAGTTCAATCCCTTGTTTTGCCAAAAAGAAAAAAAGAAAAAGAAAGAAAGAAAGAAAGAAAGAAAGAAAGAAAGAAAGAAAGAAAGAAAGAATCATTATTTGCAGGTGACATGATATTCTACATAGAGGACCCAAAAAACAGATTTGATCACCAAATTCAGTAACATAGAAGGCTATAAAATCAATAACCAAAAATCAGTAGCATTTTCTACACAAACAATGAATGCACAATTGGAGAAACCACACTTTTATGATGACATCCAAAAAAATTAAATACTTAGTAATCTCACAAAGGAAGTAAAAGATTTATATAGTGAAAATTACTATACTCTGAAAAAAGAGATGGAAGAGGACTTGATGCTCCTGGACAGGAAGAACCAACATTGTAAAAATGGCCATCTTCCCAAAATTGGTATACAGATTCAATCCAATCCCTGTTAAAATGCTATTAGCATAACTCACAGAACTAGACTAAACTTTTCTCAAATTCACTTGGAACCAAAAGAGACCTAGAATCAAAAGCAATCCTGGGAAACAAAGGAAAGGCAGGAGGTATCACAACCCCGACCATGAAATTAAACTATAAAGCTATTGTGATAAAATAAGCATGGTACTGGCATAGAGTCATACCTGAGGATCAGAGAAACAGATTAGAAGATGCAGACATAACTGCAAACACACTCAGCCACCTTATCTTTGATAAAAGGGGCCAAATATGTTCACTGGAAGAAAGATAACCTCTTTAGTAAATGGTGCTGGAAAACTGGCTTTCCACATGCTGAAGGCTAAAATTAGATGAATGTCTATCACCATGCACTAAACAGCAGTCAAAGTGGATCAAAGATTTGACATTAAAGCAGATACACTAAATCTTAGAAGAAAAAAGTAGGTAGAAATCTTAAAGACATAGGGGTAACAAGAAAGTTCATAAAAAAGAACCAAACTGAACAGGAAATACTTCAAAAAATCAAAACTGGGGTCTCATCTTTTTGAAAAGTATCTGCACATCAAAGGAAATCTCCAACAGACTAAAAAGAAAACCCACAAACTGGGAACAAATCATAGCTGACTGTCCCTCTGACAAAGGCCTTCACTAAACAAACAAACAAAAAAAAAGGGTATACAGATGAATGTCCATTTTGTAGCTGTGTATTCAAATGGTTAGGATAGATATATAGTTACATTCTCTTAATGAATAGAGGGATTGGTTCTAATAGTGTTTGTAAATAGGATACCATGTCTGCATCTTGTACAGCAATTAACCACTAGGAAGAGAGTATACAATGTGTTAATTATTGAAACTGTCCTACCAATTTGATTTGAAACTGTCTCATTGTTATTTGTTTCTCAATAAAATTATGGGAGGGGGGAAAGAAAAGAAATAAGCACTTGCCTGGCAAGTGCAGGGTCCTGAATTCAATCCCTGGTACCGTTAAAAAAAAAAAGAAAGAAAGAAAATTTAAAAGATATTGATGAATTATTTAGCTAATGTTTGTGCCCATTTATTTTCCTATTAGCAATAAATGGAGTTCCTTGTCATAAGAGTTGTCAGTCTTTTTTATTCTTGCCAATCTCATGGGTTAAAACTTGTTTCTTTATGTATTTTCCTATTTTAATTTATCATAAATGAAGCTAGGTGCCATTTCAAATGTTTAGAGTAATGTGTAATTCTTTTCCTGTATGAATTGTCAAGATACTATGGAAATTTTCTTATACAGCTTCCTTTTTGCCATTTCATGTAGAAATTTATATATTAAAGGAAGCCAAGATGTTTGGTGATGAGGTGCAAATATTTTGTTTCTGTTTTTTAAATTTTGTGGGATCTTTTCTTATGCAGAACTTTCAATGTTTAAATAAATTTAACTTCTTATGTTAAAAAAAAACCCAAAGGCCTTCTATCTAGAAAATATAAAGAATTTTTAAAAATCAAGGCACCCTTGAGGGCTAGCCAGATAATTCAGCAGACTAAAACACCTGCTTAGGCAGATGCAGGGATCGGGGGGTTTGATCCTCAACATGCCATGCTGGCCCCAACCCTGGTGGGAGCTGAGATCATGATTGAGACTAGACATGGTGGCATGTGCCTGTAATCCCAGCACCTTGAAGGCTGAAATCAGGAGGATTATTATGCATCTGATCTGTGTAGTGAGACGCTGTAGACCCTGTACTAAATATATTTTTTTTAAAAATCAGGACCCCCAAATCAAAAACCCAATCCAAGAATAGGCATCTAGGATGAATATACACTTTTCTGATGAAGAAATACAAATGGAAAGTAAATATATCAAAAAATGGTCAACATCATTAGTCATTGGAGAAATGCAAATGAAAACAACACTGAGACTCCATCTCACCCCAGAAAGAATGGCTAACACTAATAAGTCAGCCAATAACAAATGCTGGAGGGACTGAGGGGAAAAACGAACACTTATTCACTGTTGTTGGGAGTGCAGACTGG